AGTTAGAACAATTAATCAGTGGAACAACTTCCCTCCAGAAGTTGTGAATGCTCCAACACTGGAAGTCTTTAAGAAGATGTTGGGTAGGCATTTGTCTGAAGTGGTGTAGAGTTTCTTGCCTAAGCAGGGGGTTGGACTAGAAGACCTTCAATGTCCCTTCCAACTCTGTTATTCTATTCTAGAATAATAGGTGGTTTGATGGATGGGTGGATAGAGAGAGAGAGAGAGACAGAGACAGACAGTTGGATAGAGATGATGGATGGATGGATGACAAAGATAGATTTATAGAGCTATACAGAGAAAGACCGATAGAGAGGCCATTGCCTGGGAGATCATCCATTTGAGTCTCCTTTCAGGTCCCTATGAAATAGGACCCATTTATGTTCTTGTGGTCATCTGCTTTTGAACCACTGGGTCGGTGGGAACTGGAGCCTTTGTCAGGAACTCACCCCACCCCAGGGCAGCAACAGGTCTTGAACACGAGGCTGCTGATCATCAGCCCAGCATTCTAACTTCGTGAGCCACCGTGCTCCTATACATAGACAGATAACAGGTATATAGGGAGGGGTGGGTGTGTTGTTGGTACGGGGAAGGAGAGAATCCCCATCTTCCAGCAGCAGGCCAGAAGGGAGGGGCACAGGAGGGTGCTCACCTTGCCTCATCTGTCTCCATCCAGGTCCAGCTGCAGCCCAGAGCAGCCCAGAGTCACTTAAGGGAGTTAAGAAATTAGTGCTTGGTACTGATGGAGTTGGCCTTTGACTGCCAGTTGTCACGTTGCAGAGAAACTGAGTGCAAAAGCAGTGCTAATTTGATTACCTGTCTCTGTTAGCAGATAGACAGCCTCCTCCCGGCAGAGTGGAAATAGCTGGGAAGGCGGGTGGGCTGTTATTGAATGTTGATAATAAATAAAAGAAAATGCAGAGAACAGTTAAATCACCACTGGCTGCTGGATTTCTTTTTCTTTTTTTTCTTTCTCAGTGGTATCGTGCTGGTCTGGGCTTTTATGATCATATTTTTTCAGAATTTCCCAAGGTTCTTGAGTTGTTTTCCCCTTTAGGATTTTCATCCAAGTGTTTTCATCCTACACATCTCAGCTTTTCCCTCCTTCCACATCAACAAAACTGGTCTTTAACATACTTCTGCCTCTCTACTTCTATGTAGATTTTCTTCCCGTAGCTCTCATCTTGCTCTTTTTCAACTACTTCTCTGAACTGTCACTGAAGAAAATCAACAAGTACTAAAAGAGATTTCAGTCCATAAGGTGGACTATGATCCAATATAACAACTAGATTGTTTCAGTCCTCTACACTTCTTTATTCCCGGAGAAGAAAGACTCCAAACTTAAAAAAGCAGTGTTGTTTGAAGCCATTTTGGAGGCTAATCTGTTTCCCTCTAAACTAGTGTCGGGAAGAAGGAACCGAAAAGCGGGCAGAGAAGAGCAACCAAGATGATTAGGGGACATGTGAAGAATGGTTGCAGGAACTGGGCATGACTATTCCGTGACCCGTCAAAACCGCGGTCCACAAAAGCGCGCTCGACGAAAGCGCGTACGTGACGTCATCACAGCGCGATGAAAACATCGCGCTGTG